ACCAATGGTCACTCATTGGTCACTCATTGGTCACTCAGTGGTCACTCATTGGTCACTCAGGGTCACTCATTGGTCACTCATTGATCACTCATTGGTCACTCATGGTCACTCATTGGTCACTCTGGTCACTCAGTGGTCACTCTGGTCACTCATTGGTCACTCATTGGTCAGTCATTGATCACTCATTGGTCACTCATTGGTCACTCAGGGTCACTCAGTGGTCACTCATTGGTCAGTCATTGATCACTCATTGGTCACTCAGGGTCACTCATTGGTCACTCATTGGTCACTCAGGGTCACTCAGTGGTCACTCATTGGTCAGTCATTGATCACTCATTGGTCACTCAGGGTCAGTCAGGGTCACTCAGTGGTCACTCAGTGGTCACTCATTGGTCACTCATTGGTCACTCATTGGTCACTCATGGTCACTCATTGGTCACTCAGGGTCACTCAGTGGTCACTCAGTGGTCACTCATTGGTCACTCATTGGTCACTCATGGTCACTCATTGGTCACTCATGGTCACTCAGTGGTCACTCATGGTCACTCAGTGGTCACTCATTGGTCACTCAGTGGTCACTCAGGGTCACTCAGTGGTCACTCATTGGTCACTCAGTGGTCACTCATTGGTCACTCAGTGGTCACTCAGGGGTCACTCAGTGGTCACTCATTGGTCACTCTGGTCACTCAGTGGTCACTCAGTGGTCACTCAGTGGTCACTCAGTGGTCACTCAGTGGTCACTCATGGTCACTCGTGGTCACTCATGGTCACTCCTGTCCCCAGACCAACAAGAAGACCGGCCAGCCCATGATCAATGTGTGCTCATTTAGTGGTCACTCATGGTCACTCCCATGGGTCAGTGGTCACTCATGGTCACTCAGGGTCACTCAGGGTCACTCAGGTCACTCAGGGTCACTCACGGTCACTCACTGGTCACTCATGGTCACTCAGGGTCACTCAGGGTCACTCATGGTCACTCCCATGGGTCAGTGGTCACTCATGGTCACTCAGTGGTCACTCATGGTCACTCATGGTCACTCATGGTCACTCATGGTCACTCCTGGTCACTCGTGGTCACTCCTGTCCCCAGACCAACAAGAAGACCGGCCAGCCCATGATCAATCTCTACACTGACCGCGAGACCGGGAAGCTCAAGGGCGAAGCCACCGTGTCCTTCGACGACCCGCCCTCGGCCAAGGCCGCCATCGACTGGTTCGACGGTCGGAATTCCCAAAATTCCCGAAATTCCTGATCCGAAAAATCCCAAATTCCCGAAAATCCCAAAATTCCCCCAAAATTCCCCAATTCCCAGCCCTCCCCATGTCCTTCGACGACCCGCCCTTGGCCAAGGCCGCCATCGACTGGTTCAACGGTCGGAATTCCCAAAATTCCTGATCCCAAAAATCCCAAATTCCCAAAAATTCCGATCCCAAAATTCCCGAATTCTTGATGTCAAAAACCTCAAATTCCTGAAATTCCTGATCCCAAAAATCTTAAAATTCCCGAATTCCTGATCCCAAAAACCCCAAAATTCTCCAAATTCTTGATCTCAAAAACCTCAAATTGGTGAAATTCCCGATCCCAAAAATCCCAAAGTCACAAAATTATTGGTCCCAAAAAATCCCAAATTCCCAAAATTCCCGACCTCGAAAATCCCAAATTCCCAAAAATTCAGACCCCAAAATCCCTAAATTCCCCGAAACTCTTGAATTCAGCATTCCCAAAATTCCCGAATTCCTGATCCCAAAAATCCCAATTTCCCAAAATTCCTGATCCTCAAATTCCTGCAATTCCTGATCCCAAAATTCCCCAAATTCCTGATTCGAAAAACCTCAAAATTCTCCAAATTCCTGATCTCAAAAAACCCAAATTCCTAAATTCCTAAAAATCTCAAATTCTTGAAATTCCCGGTCCCAAAATCCCTGAAATTCCCAAAATTCTTGAAATTCCAAAAAAATCCCTCCTTTCCCCAAAACTCCAAATTTATTCACCAATTTTCCTCCTTTCCCCACCAAATTTTCTCCTTTTTTTCCCCAAATTTCCTCCTTTTTTCCCCAAATTTTTTCCCTTTTTTTTTTTTCCCAAAACTCCCGTTTTTCCCCCCAAAATTCTCACTTTTCCCACTTTTCCAGGGAAGGAATTTTCGGGGAATCCCATCAAGGTGTCGTTCGCCACGCGCCGCGCCGACTTCAGCCGAGGCGGCGGCCGGGGCCGCGGCCGGGGAGGTGAGCGCCCCCAAAATCGCCCTTTTTCACCCCAAAAATTCCTCTCTTCCCAAATCCCCATTTTTCCATCCCAAA